AGGGACGGCTAGCGCAGATAGCCCTCGTGTAGCTTTGCGCGAAATTCAAAAACAAAACAAAAACAAATCAATGAACTTAAAACATTTTTTCCTTACTTATTCCTTTCTCGCCTTTATTGCACACTGTAACTGGACTGTAATGCTCTATATTCAGTAAGTAGCGAATTTATAAATTACCACGAAATGTTGTCTATAAAAACTTAAATCTCTATTTATTTATCTTTACATTCGAAAACAAATACAAAAATCCTTTTTTTTCTCTGCCTCTCGAGTTAGTAGAAAACGTTACGTTAAAGTGAGCGATTTATAATTATGTAAGAAGTACTTTTAGATCTGAAGTTGATAAACTCAATGAAATGAGAAGTTACTTTCTATTCTCTTCACTTTCAGTGAAAGAATAACCATTTTTTAAAGCTTTAACAGTAATAGTTAAGAATTAAAAACATATCCTGGGAGGGAAATTCGTGATTTTCGTAAAAGTATCACATTTCAAGTTTAAAAATTAGCTGATCCAGATGTTTCGTCATGAGGTACGTATGGACAAAAGCAGACGTATTCATTAGTGGCTTTATTGTTCGGTGATCTGAAATTTAAATTTCAGTGAAATTGCACGGAATCTCATAGTCTTGTGTCAAATACTGTTGGCATTAAATAATCAAACAAAATATAACAACCAGTTAATATCAGATCTTGAGTGTTAGTACAATGAGCCCAGATAAGTTTCAAATTTTTAATAAAAAGTAGAATAAACGACTGATGTAGTTCAGATCACTTCTACGTTCATAAGTTGTGTATGTTCTTTTGGTTATAGAACTGTTACGTTTTAGTTGTGTTTGAACTTTTAAGGTACTGATTAGTATTAACACTTTTTGCCAACTACCTTAGCTCTCAAGTTAAGACAAATATTTCAAAAAACTACAACATTTAATAAATAAAATTAGTATTCCGAAAATTGTATAATCTCGAAGACTAAGTTCAAGGGAGGTCCAGTTAAATCTACAGTTTGATCAAATGTGTATTATTGGGTTATACTAGTTTCGGAAAATTCCACTCCTCATCAATAACCCTGAACACAAGTTAACCAAAGAGAGATAAGCTGAACCTATATCATAGTGAAAAGTATCAAATGTATTGTTGGTGGGAACGTGCATTATTGTCACTATGAGAAAAACCTATACACTGGATAAGTGAAGAAAAAGTGTCATTGGTCATTTATGGGGAAGTTAAATCCATTATTATGGAGCAAGTTTAACACTTTTATTTGTTCACTTCAGTCAGTCGTTTGTTTGATCTTAATTTTCAGTTACTTACTCGATACTGTATATTTACCTACTGTTCCAAGATCTGTCTGTCTGTTTTGATAGTTTGAGTCTTGGAAGTGATCCTACGAGGCCATACCAGCCACCAGGTCATCATCCTTGGCCTTCTCCAGAAAACAACCAAGTGTATTGTCCCAGAACACAAACAGATAACGCGTCAAGTTTTCCCCAGTCACGCTCCTTTCGGGTGCTTCAGATGTTGACAAATGAAGAGGATGAATGTCCTAAGGAAGGTGAGCAGCGCCATCTATAGAAAAACAAACATTGTAAAAATTTCGGACATTGCCTTGACAAATTATGACATTACATTACACAGATGTAATAAGTTTAGTATTACCTTTAAAACTTTTTAATATGAGTCTAAATTACAGAAAAATAAGCATACTTTAGTTTGTAAATTATTATATGGATATATAGACTTTCAATGAAGTTCTTAAAGGTCTTTATGGTAAAACATTTGCTATTAAAGTTTCATAATCGTACGACGAAGAAAACGTCAGTGCTAGTCTAGTTGGACTTCCTGAAAGGTTTTAACACTATGAAGTAAGTATACTGTTGGACAACAAAGAAACTGCGTCTGTTTTCTGATTCTTGAGAAAGCTAAAAGCCACTAAATGATGACGAATTTTACAACACTGGACTTCTGAGTAGTAAGTAGGAGGAAATGACAGCATTAAGAGAAGAACTCTTAAATTAGTGGTCTTTATCTAATATCTTAAGGAATTATTTTTACTTGTCTAATAATAAAAACAATAAGTGCTTGCAAGAGGGTTTTGTTGAAACTAAGCATACGGATTCGTTTTGTTTTACTTAAGTCAACTTCTTTAAAATTCTAGAAAATTGACTCTATACAATAATTTTTGTGTTAAAAGACGCTTCTAGCTTGGAGCCTTGTAGACTGTTTAACTTCAAAGATAAGAAGTTAGTTCACTGCCTATTTAAACATGACATCTGCTTAATATCGTACATAGAGAGGACTTATGTTTGTCTTGTTTAAGCAGAATGTTGTGCAGGTATCAGGACTCGAACCCCAAATTTTAACGTTGTAAACCTTCGATCAATTATAGAGCTAAGTTGCAAAAAACTTGAAAGTGTCATGAATTAAAGCTAAAATTAAAGCGATAAATACTTTATCAAGCAAAAATACTTTATTGTACGAAACATGTCTCGGTTTTTTTGAACGGGTCCGTAATGTAATGTTAGCCATTACTATTAATATGTTTCAACTCTTTCGTCATTGTATATATATTATTTTATTACGTTGATAATTCTGTATTAATAAATTTTCTAATTTCAACCCACGATATTTTAAAATATACATATTTACGCATTGCTAAGCGTGTGTGTTAATAAGTTTGAGAAAAAACAACAAAAACAAACAAGTAACTGAAAGTAATCGTGAGCTCTAGTAAACAAAACACGTTATGGGTTAATTAAATTCTCAAGGGTGTTGATTAATCTTTCTCTTTCCTGTGGTTTTCCTCTCTGGGTGAATAACGTCGCCTGGCATTTAACTACTACATAACTCTCAAGATTTATACTGTAGTTGGCTCATATAGGCTGTAACGTAGAAATAAAAGAAACTCTGCGGTTAGTCAATTCAGTAATTCCTGAACAAAGCAAGTAAATCACAGTCATATGATTGCCAACCAACGACGTTGATTTTTTTAAAATTTATATAAAGACGTCACATGAACAAACATATATCATCGCCACGTCATTCATTTGGAATGATAACATACTTTAGCTAGCACATACGGCGCCTTTTGCGTGGCTGCATGGTGAGTTTACGTTGCTATTTTTGTCGTTTCCTTCTAAGGAAGTCTGCTTGTGGGTGAGCACCGACGAGGAAGCTTCGTTATAAAGATCTAAAGTGTTCTTTTTAAATTGCTAAGTTTTATATAAGTATCCAAATCGCACGAAAAGTTTTACAACAATAAATATTTCTCACATGTAAAACTAAACAACGTGTGTATTACATGAAAGCTACGTCTGCACTACGATGGCTGATTTTTATTTTAGATTATGCTACTGTCAGTATTATTTGGTACTGTTACGTCTCCGTTTGTTAATTAACTTTCCGTAACTTCGTTCCAACGAAACTTAAGCGACACAAGTCTTTACTTAATAAAACTGGTTTATTCTTTCCGAATATAACTTTACCGATACACTCAACTTCAACAATCGAGCTAAACAAACGCTGTAACGTCTCTCGTGCTCTCTGATTGCAGTTCAATTACTCACTATCTACACAGACATTACCTTAATCCTCTTTTATATACCAGCCTACCCTATATCTAGTAAGAACTAGAACATTCGCCAAAGTACATGATAGTTCTAGAAACGTTGCGTCACAGTAGTCATGTGACTCGATGACGCAACAGTACTTTTGAAATATTTCCGAAATAAGAATACTGGCCATATTCGTAAAGAGTAAAACTAGAATATGGCAAGTTACAAATTACGCTTTATAACTTCAATCAAACAAGTTTCGTGTTAATTTCGCTTCTTAATTTTTTAATCAAACACATTTTGTGCTAATTACATAGGTCTGTGAATTTAACCTTCATAAAACTTGTTGTGGTTTTAATAACAGATTTTTCATAATTCAGCTACGCAGATTTCGAAAATATTATCCATTTTTTACAAATCGGGAAGAAAAAAACTCTTACTTTGATCAAATTATTATTTCGTTTTACACAATGAACATTTTTTATTGTTATGTTTTTTTACGTTTGGGTTCTAGAACGATCGATAAGACTCTCGCGTCGCGATTGGTCTAGAGAAATCTGAAGTCAGTGATTGTCAGCATTTTAAGCATAACAAAATGTGACCCGATTTCAATGAAAGTGATTCACTTATGTAAAAGTACATATGACGTTTTGTGAGAAACCTGTACGTGATTTAGAAAAATGGATATCATTTTCAGATTCAGCGTACAGGAATTTCAAGACAATAAAACCACCGTAGGCCTTCAATAAAACAAGTTTCGTACTAATAGGCATCATAACTTCAATCATAATACGTTTTATACGAATTACGCTTCATAGCTTCAATCATAACGCAATTTGTAGTAATATGCTTCATAACTTCAATCGTAACACGTTTTGTACTAATCACGCTTCATAACTTCAATTGAATACGCTTTCTGTAACACCAAAGTTTTGGAGGTTTTCAAAAGATTTCTTAACGCGTATTTGGGATAGAAAACTAATGATATTAACCTTGCTTGGTTTCACCTGGCTGGATTGTTTGTTTTTACAGTTTTAACTTCTCTACTTCAGTAACATGCGTAATACTGACGCCATTGTGCGATATCATTACGCCGAATGCAATGCACCAAGTATTTATTACGTCTCTGAAAAAAAAAAAAATGTTAAAGAGATGAAAGTGGAACAAATTTTGTAGCAAAAAGAATAGGTTCTAGCCCGAACCCTGAAGTGTGGGGTTGTGACCCTCTTGATTTAAATACATAAAATTTTCATGATCTAATGCTATAAAGTCGCGATTAATCGAACTTGTAAAAGAGCACAGTTCAACGGTGCACGTGATGATATTTTTTTTCCAAATTGATTCTGGCGTTGTAGATTAGATTCTAGTTTGGTGTAAGATAGTTAGTTTGCTATGTTAAAATGACATCAAAATCTTTAAATTTGAAAGTTAAAAGAAATTTCTCTTAATAATATTCCATCCAACTTTATTGTTCCTAAATAACACCTTTTTTTTCCCTAGTATTTCGTATCGTCAGTATGTTTTGAAAATATTTAAATTAATCTTAACATTATAGTCGTAGTGTGGGCCACCTTTAATTTTAGGGACTTACAACACTAAAATCCGGTGCTCGATTCCATGTTGTGGACAGAGTGCAGATAGCCTATCGTGTATCTTTCTGCTTAAACAAGTAAACAAAATTTTCAACATTATATTTGATATGTAACTTGTTTTTTGAAAGCTTTAGTGCCCGTTTTCAAACTAAATGTTATTTTTACTATACAATATCAACTTAGATTGAGCAGATAGCATATAAATCAATAACACTTAAAACATGCTGTTAGGTTACATATATCTTATGTTTTATGATACTATGAATTTAATAATTTAAGCATCCAATCTTTCTTTTATTAATAATTAACATTTATTATGACACAGGTAAGCTACTTTTTAATCAACATTAAAGTTAACATACAGATTATATTAAAAATATATTCACCAAGCTCTGATGAGAAAAAGAAAAAGGTAAAATTGTCTAGAAGGAAAATAAATATGTATTAAAACATTATTTACATAGTAAGGTGTCCAGTGGGAAGCGTGCAGGACTATGGAATCGAAGTTCGCGCCACGTTTCCACATTTTTTGGGTCATGGGTGGGTTATGAGAGTGACGGTCAAATCCCATTATTCGATTAGAGCAGCCCACGAGTTAACTGTGAGGGGTGTTGACTAAATGATTTCCCTTTAATTATTTACTGCAAAATTAGTGGCGGCTAGCGAAGATAACCCTCGAGTAGCTTTGAGCGAAATTCAGCAAACAAACGAACATGTTCATGTGAGCTCTATATAAAGAGTACAATGCAAATGGCCGTAGTGTCACCATTAGTGACGAACTTATTCTCTCGTCAATGATAACTGAAAAATTACCTACCACGTGTTCAGTAAAGTTTCTCTTTCGATTATTTCCGAGAAAGCACAAACGTATCACTGCTTGTGTACTTTAATAAATGCACAGAACTGGTGAACTGTTGGAGGAAGAATTACCAGTGAGTCGTAAATTTTCATGTCAACATGTTTCCCAAATGCGACACTAAAGTGTTGCTATCAAAAAGAAATATCAATAAATTATTTATAAGAAAAACGACTGAAGGTGCTGAAACTACAATCTAACCACAAGGATTGTTTGTTTGTTTGTAGTTAAATACAAAGCCATATAATGGGCTATCTGTGCTTTGCCCACCACGTGTATCGAAAACCGGTTTCTAGTGTTGTAACTCCGGAGACATACCACTTTGCCACTAGGGAGCGACCACAAGGAATTGTATATATATATATATACAATCAACCATAAGTAAATTTAATCAGACAGAAAATGTCGTGAATTTCTAGCTACTCTATATATACTCTAAAGCAAGTGTTTCACTTACTTGAGGAAGACGTAATGGGTATAGCTAAAGATCTTCCCTTTACTACAAAGACGAAGTTTTGTCACCTACTGTTGATATGCCAGTCAACAATATTCT